GGACTTCTGCCTTTAAACAAATTCTGCAGATCAAGATATTTTATTTAAATTAAGCTGTAGTCTCTAAATGTGTGAGTAGACTTTAAACCAATTCTGCAGATTAAGAGATTTTATTTAAGTAAAGCAGTGGTCTCTAAATGTGTGACTATTTTATGAGCATTATATGGAGTAAATGGAGTTTGCAGTACTTAGTACATGGCTCCTAGATTAAGACGTCTTGAAAATAGTGGTCCTTCTTACTGTTACTAGTATTTTCTTCACTTTTTCTGGACCCCATTATGCAGTGCTGCCATAAGGCTCTGCTTTTCATTAATTACACCCTCATTTCCTCATTTGGAAAGCCATTTCTTAGTGTGAACCTGGTATTTACTTCCCTTAAAAATACTGACAGAATAAATATATTTTCCTTCTGTCTATAAGGACCTTACAGGAGCCCTCCAAAAAAAAAGGAGAGGGGATGAATTCTAAGTCATCACTCTTAAGAGTACACACCTGTGTACACACATTTAAATTCATGAGTTTGTACTGATACCTTTATTTCTGACCCTACACTGCACGTGAAATACAGGATGTATTCTACCTAACCTTCCCCTTTCCTGTTTTGTGACTCCTTTTTCCAACAGTTGAGAGATCTTTCTTTCACTATCCATGGTAGATTTTCTTTTTGTTCAATCCTAATATACACATAGAGGCTTTCCTGGTGGCCCAGTGGTAAAGAATCTGCCTGCCAATGCAGAAGACTCAAGTTCAATTCCTGGGTCAGGAGTATCCCCTGGAAAGTGAAATGGCAACCCACTCCAGTATTCTTGCCTGGGAAATCCATGGACAGAGGAACCTGGTGGGCCACAGTCAATGGAGTCTCAAAAGAGTCAGACACAACTTGGCAACTAAACACCAGCAACAGTTCAGTTCAGTTCAGTCACTCAGCCATGAGCAGCTCTGTGATCCCATGGACTGCAGGCCCACTTGTTTGAAGCTTACTCAAACTCATGTTCATCGAGTTGGTGATGCCATCCAAACATCTCATCCCCTTCTCCCCCTGCCTTCTGTCTTTCCCAGCATCAGAGTCTTTTCCAATGAGTCAGTTCTTCATATCAGGTGGCCCAGGTATTGGAGCTTCAGCTTCAGCATCAGTCCTTCCAATGAATATTTAGGGCTGATTTCATTTAGGATTGACTGGTTTGATCTCCTTGCAGTCCAGGGCACTGTCAAGAGTCTTCTTCAACACCACAGTTTAAAAGCATCAATTCTTTGGTGCTCAGCTTTCCTTATAATCCAACTCTCACATCCATACATGACTATTGGAAAAACCAGAACTTTGACTAGATGGGCTTTTGTTGGCAAAGTAATGTCTCTTGCTTTTTAATATGCTGTTTAGGTTGGTCATAGCTTTTCTTCCAAGGAGCAAGCATCTTTTAATTTCATGGCTGCAGTCACCATCTGCAGTGATTTTGGAGCCCAAAAAAATAAAGTCTGTCACTGTTTCCATTGTTTCTCCATCTATTTGCCATGAGGTGATGGGACCAGATGCCATGATCCTAATTTTTTGAATGTTGAGTTTTAAGCCAACTTTTTCACTCTCCTCTTTCACTTTCATCAAGAGGCTCTTTAGTTCCTCTTCACTTTCTGCCATAAGGGTGGTGTCATCTGCATATCTGAGGTTATTGATATTTCTCCCGGCAATCTTGATTCTAGCTTGTGCTTCACCTAGCCCAGCATTTTTCAAGATGTACTCTGCATATAAATTAAATAAATAAGGTGACAATATACAGCCTTGTTGTACTCCTTTCCCAATTTAGAGCCAGTCCGTTGTTCCATGTCCAGTTCTAACTGTTGCTTCCTGACCTGCATACAGATTTCCCAGGAGTCAAATAAGGTGATCTGGTATTCCCATACAAGATAGTTTCAGAATTGCTAGCCCACACCCATGAGAGATGTAGTGTACTTGAGTGTATTTGAATACAGTTCTTATTATCTGTTTAGCTTGTTAGTATATAAACAAAATATTATTTCCCAGAGTTACTCAGGTTAATTCTTTTCTCCCCTATCCCCTTCAGTGTGGTTTCATTATTTGTTTGTACTACACTTCCTTTGTTATTGTTTGGATTCCATTTTATCCCTCCTCCAGCATCATCAGATTTACAGTGTTAGTTATGGTAGGACTGGGATTTAATTGGTCACACAGCACAGTTGCTTTGCAACCTCTTCTCTTTATCATTTGCCTCACCCCTATTTCCTGGTCTCATTTTTGTGAGAGTGATTAATTCAAAGAAAAACTGGTTTTAAGTCTGCTCCCTAATCCTTTTAATTTGGGAGGAGATTGAAATGAATAAAGGCTTTTAGGTAGGTAGCAAGTGGGCGGAGGAACAGTGGCCTGGAGCAAGGATAATTTGTAAAATAAAGATTTCAGTGGAATTGAGGGTCATCCATATGCATGCTGATTTAGCAACAATACAGTGAAGAAGGGTCGCATCCTGAACCTCTGACCTGGGTTGTTTGATGGGGCTTGGTCAGTGCCAGGAAACCCATCCAACTGTAATGTCTTTAGAATTAGCAAGCCCTTGCCCAAGTGAGCTTCTGGGGTTTTCAGGGTCTCATTCCCTGTAAAGTTGAGCTAAGTATTCTGTTTCTGCTCATTCCTTTATGTGTTCACTCATTTGATTATCTATGGACAGACGCAGGCTGGCGCTCTTATTCTGGGTGCAGGACTTTGCAGAAAATGTACAATAGCTGGCTCTCTTTCTAGTCATCAAGCATCCTTCTACCCAGTCCCACCATCTGTTTTGTGACCATTCCCAACGGTCATAAACTATTTAGGAGCTAAGCTATTAAAAGTCATGGAATTATTGGGACTTTCTTGGTGGTGTTCCCTCAATGCAGGGGTCCCAGGTTCTATCCCTGGTTGTGGAACTAGATCCTCATGCCACAACTAAGACCTGGTGCAGCCAAATAAATATATATATATTTAAAGTCATGGAATTATGCTCAGAATAAACTATCCAAAGAAAACAAAACCTCAGGGTTTCTGGAAAGGGAGTTATTTCGAAAGTCTCATTTCATACTCTCTCCTACCATCTAGACTTTAGGGAAAGGGGTTAGCTACTTATAGGCCTTGCCTTAGTGCTCTTTCCTGAAGCAGTTCAAACAGCCCTGCCTGGACATGAATTTGAATTGGCGTAAACAGCGTTCTGCAATTAATGGGGGAAAACAGTCTTGTGGTAGTGCTGGGAAACCACCGGCTGAAGGTGATTCATCAGGCGGGTCACAACAAGGCCAATGCAAATTCTAAAATATTTGTTTGTCTTGACTGCTATTCCCAGCATAGTAAACAGGACTACAAACCATGACTGCAAATAGCAATAACAATTTCAAAAGATTATCATAAACACCCAAGTTTAAGGATTTAAGGTACAGTTGAAGAGGATGATTCAGTTTCAAACTTTGTAACCCAGATATTGTTAACATCAGTTTGTTAGTGTCATGTTTCACTGAAAGATGTATATGTTGACTAAAAAAAAAAAGCACAATGTGGGAATTCCTTGGTGGTCCAGTGGCTGGGACTCTGAGCTCCCAATGCAGGGGGCCTGAGTTAGATCCCTGGTCAAAGAATTAGATCCCACATGCCACAACTGAAGATGCTACATGTCACAAAGAAGACTGATGATCCTGTGCATCACACCTAAGACCTTGCACAGAAATAAATAAATACTTAAAAAAAAAAAAAAGAAGCACAATATGAGAGCTGAGTTAAGTTTTATTTGGGGCAAAATGAGGACTATCGCCTGGGAGACAGCATTCCAGATAGCTCTGAGAAATTGCTCCAAAGAGGTAGGGGGAGGGTCAGTGTACCTGTGATTTTGGTGAAGGGGGAGTTCACGCAGTCAAGCGCATACTTTTTGCAGAAGGTTTCTACTAGTCACCAGGAACAGAGGTCACCATGGAGGATTTTAGTGCTTTTTTCCAGATATGAGGTAATGCAAGAATTGTGTGTGTAAAGTCTTCTCTTGAGAGTATCTAACTGTCTGAAACACTTGTTCTGTCAGATTTCCTCAGAGGACTAAGTGCTTCATTCCTGATCTCCACCCTGAACTGCTTTCAAGAGGTGTTGAGAGTCAGCAGCCACAGTTGTTCATAATTTAATCCTTACAGAAGTAGATCAAGTGCCTACGGTGAATGCCAATTTGTAGGTGATGTAAAATATCATCAATGTTGGATGTGCTTTATGTGTTTTTTAAATTGGCTTATAGTCTTTGTGGGAAGATCAGGCAGTCCGGATAATCTCATTTTTTCTCTCTCCTCTTCTTTATTTCTTCCTTATAATACACCAGGGAAAGGAACCCCATTTTGTTTTAGCTCAGGGCCTGGTTGAAGTGAACATATGTAGTTGGGCAAGGACTGAAGAGTGGATCAAATAATCTTTTTTTCTCAACGAATAAGACCTCATCTTTTGTGGTTTTGCTGGCAATCCAATTTTTTTTTTCCACTGTTTGACAGTCAAGTTAGTATTTGGAGCAATATTCCCAATAGAAATGTTATTTGTTATTTCTTGGGGGTTTGCACTTTAAAATTTTGTGATTATTGCCTCTTATTTCAGAATTTCATTGTGGGAGAATCCATACCTACCCAGTGGCCTCCAAGGTGTTTTTTGGAAGGTGTTTCTAATTGTTTGGACCTTATCTGAGCATCATCTGAATTATGCAAGGGTCCCATATTATGCATTCAGGTTGGCTCTTCATTGAGAAATAGTTTGCATAAAATTATTGGCATTTCCTGCCCCTGTTAGGCCAAAACTATCTTAAAAACAACTTTTCTGCCTGGACTCAGGTACTTTTGCTTCACGCCCAGACCAGAACCAGGAAATGAAGAGACAAGTGTGAAAAGGAAAATTACTGGGGTGGAGGTTTGGGGTGGGGAAAGGGGAATTTCTCAATATTTTCATGGCTCAAAATGCTCAACATGGATATGTCATAAAGAAAAAGAAGAGAAAAAAAAAGACTTACTCTTAGTGGAAATTGCCACTGGTCAGATTCTCCACTGTAACTTCTGAACTGGGTAGATCTGAGAGGCTGCGGGGTTAGTCTAGCTAGTTAAAATATTCAGTTTCTTTGCAAGTGTCTTGAGGGCTTATACAACTTGACAAAGCTCTATAAAAAAAGAATACAGATTAGAAATACAAAATTAGGCATGAAAGTGAATATCTGTCTATAATGAGAAAAGAAATACTAAGGATTACCAAATTTTAAAAAGGTGTCAAATGCCATATATATTACAGTCTATAAAACAACACAATATTTATATTAGCCTGACACACTTCTATAATATTCTTTTTTTCACATTTATTTGGCTGCATGTTCATCAGTCACTTCTTCATGTTCAAGGCCATCAAACATGAGGTGAAATCTGATGGAGGGGAATTGGAGTGGCAAGGAATAGTGATTTTTATAATTTTGACTAAAATGTCTCACTCTTACAGATTTTATAGAAATTTATGACAGTGTGAACACATTAGGAGGCCTTTTTCCCTTCCATCATCTTAGAAGGAGCCCATGTAAGAGATGGGCCCTGATGTTTAACCTTTGTTAGCTTTAGGGTGAACCACCTGATCTGATGTGAATGTGGGCAAGTGACTTAACTCTCTGACCTCAGTTTCTGTATCTATTTCACTGAATTCTTGTGAGGACCAAATAAGGTAAGCATATATGATAGCCTGAAAAAAATGAACTCATTTGTTTTTTAGGTTACTCAGTACAAGCCTCAGTTTATTGTCAAATTGAAGAGTGTTTTGAAGAATTCAATAGATGGAACAGTAATTCTGTTATGGGGGTGTATTTTAACTTTTGTCGAAAAAAAAAAAAATTACCCATTCTCAGCAATCCAGAGCACCAGAAAATAAAAAGTTTGGTGGAGCCAGTGAGGAGAGAACTTAAAAGGTTTTGGAATTTGTTTCCAGTCTTGCGAAGTAGCATGTATCTTGGCGAGCATTGGGCCTTTAGGTATATTTCGGGTGGAGACTTTTATTGATGCAGGAAAGCTTCCAGAATCTGAAGGAATTCCCAAAGAGGAAAGAGAATTTCATTCTAGCAGAACTGAGGGCATTCAGAATGAGGCCTTTATTGTTGGCAGATATGATGATGGTAAATGTTGAAGGGAGACAGATACCATCTTAAAAGTTACCTGGAGAGCCAGTCCTTCTGCAGAAAGATAACAAGCAAAAGACACATTTAAGGAATATAGCTCAACCACAAATTCGATTTCTTTTACCGAAGCCCAATTTGAACTGACTAGTGAACACGTGCGCACAGAGTTTTATTTTCCTATGTGGTTCAACACGATAAGGTCGGCCCAGCCTCTCTTCCTTCCTTGTTTCTAAACACTTCTACTTGGTGCTTTATAAATCACGTCTTTCATCAACAAAACACCTTGTATACCTTGTACCTCTGACCTCTGTTCAAGATATGCACTTCATCTTCTAGATCTAACTAAAGCTTTGCTTTCCCTTGGAGACCTTGATTCTTGTGCATCCCTCCCATATGGGAGTGGTTTCTTCCATACCTTGGGTATCGCCGGGCCCAAGGATGGAGTATCTGCTTCTCAATTCTTGCAGCCAACTCCAAATCATTTTCCTTTCTTAATTTTCTTTGAGATTCCAGAATTTTGTCCCACATGCCCCCCTTCAACCACTCTTTTTTGTCTACCTGACTGCGATGTAGGATTCGCCAGTGTTGTCGCTTCCCCTCGGTTACTAGAGGAATGCCAGGCACCTAACAGACCTTCAATCAACATTGGAAAGAAAGAACACATAAAGAAAAAAAGAGAGAAACACATATGTTGAGGAGGTACCTGTTCCCTCTTGCCTCCATTCAGATCTGCAGCCTTCTTGGGTCAGATGTGCTAATTTTCCCAACACAGATCATACCTGGTCCCATTTCCATGGCTTTGTTCCTGTTTTCTGCGCAATCTAATACATCAGACCCTGATCTTCTGCCTGTCTTTGTAATTTTCTCTTTTAAAGCATCTCACATCCAATACCCTTGAAAGAGCTTGTACTGGCTGTTTAAGTCAAGCCAATGTCTTTCTTTTGGCTCATGTTATACTTGAAGCTAAATATTCTTACACAGTACTTGCCATAGATTTTGGCAATAATTGTACTTCAAGTGTGACAGGAGCCTTTGTTTTCTTTATTCAATTAATGTAAATCCACCTTTAGGGCAGAGATTTTTGCTTATTCTTCCTTTAGCTTCCTCACCAAGCTTATCCCTGTGCTGGATAAATGGCTTAAAAAATATATACTATGTAAATATATATTAATCTATTGATAATAATCACATGGCAACCAAGAAAATGTTCAACTTGTTTTTAAAAATAAAATATATATGTGTATACATATGTGTATATATATATATATATGTAGACACACAAATGGAATATACTTTTACAGCTGCTGAAGAAAGTAAAGGTAAATAATTACTGGAATTATCTTCACTGTTGTAGAAAAGTCAACAGATGCCCAGTGAATTCTGACCCAGCTTATGTCCAGTTGGGGAGGAAGGACTCCCTATAAGTATGTGATACAGCGGACCAGAGGCTCTGACTGTCCCTAGGACAGGTCCTCATTGTGATGATGGTCAGCACAGCATCACCACCTGCAGGGACCTGCTTCCCAGGTTATTGGGCCGCAGTGAATAATCTGGCCATCTTAGGACAGCCCATGAAGTCAGAGCCACTTCCTATTTCACAAGCTGGGTGCCTTTAGCAAACTTCCAGTATTCAAGGGCTAGGGCACACAGGAATTAGATGAAGGAGGCTGAACAACAATTAGTTTTGGTGGAAGGAATGAAGGATGAACCCAAAGTATCTGGGCCATCCTTGAGGGAGTGAATTTCCTCTGAAATGGTTGGCAGTAATTCAAACCCAAGAGGCCTTCCAATTCTGGGAGAATTACACTTGCTTCCTTTTACTTGATTTCTAGACTTAAGAAATTAAATTCTACTGTCTTCTGAAAATTTTGGTGAAAAATTATCTGTTAAAAATACTGCCTTCTTATTTCCTCCCCCCACATCACTTGTGAGATCTTAGTTCCTTGACCAGGGATCAAACTCATGCTCATGGCAGTGAAAGCACCAAGTCTTAACCATGGACCACCAAGCATTTCCTACCTTCTTACTTCCTACATGCTCCTAAGCATAATTGTAGGAAGGACGGAATACAGACATTGCTGAGTTGACAAGACAGAATGCGTAATTTCTCACCCAGATCTACTCACCTATTATATATTTGTATTTTGTGGAACATACTCTTTTATCCTCCTGAAAAACATTGCACATTCACAATAAGATGGAAATAAGTCATAATCAAATGCCAAAGTGGTAACAAAACAATGATCAGACATGGACTGTAAAACTCATTTTAAAATGTATTTTTAAACATTTTACCTTTTAAAGGAGATCTTTGGAATGTTACTGTATTGATTCAAAGGAAATGTGTATAATTAGATTTTCTCTAATCAATTCTTTTCCTCACCACTGCTTCTAGCCTTGTACATGATATCCTCAAAGGCAATGGTCTTCAAGTTCCTTCTATTAGTAACAAAATATTACAAATGGGGTGACTCAAAAGAAATTTATCTTCTTACAGTTCTGGAGGTTAGAAGTTCAAAATCAAGGTGTTAGCATGGCTGGTTCCTTCTGAAAGCTGTGAGGACAATCTGTTCCAGGTCTCTTGCCTAGTTTCAGATAGTCTGCTGATTGTTGTTCAGTAACTCAGTTGTGTCCACCTCTTTGTGACCCCATGGTCTGCAGCACACCAGGCTTCCCTGTCTTTCACCATTTCCCGGGGTTTGCTTAAACTCATGTCCATTGAGTCGGTGATGCCATTCAATCATCTCATCCTCTGTCATCCCCTCTCCTCCTGCCTTCAATCTTTTCCAGCATCAAGGTCTTTTCCAATGAGTCGGCTCTTTGAATCAGGTGGCCAAACTATTGGAGCTTCAACTTCAACATCTGTCCTTCCAATGAATATTCAGAGTTGATGCATCACCTGATTTCTACCTTCATCTTCAACGGCATTCTCCCTGGCTATCTTTAGGTCTAAATTCCCGCCCCCCTCCTTTTTTTTTTTTTTTTATAAAGATGCCATATTGGAGTAGGGCTTCCTTTAATGACCTCACTTAACTGTTTAAATCTGCAAAGATCTTATTTTCCAATAAGGTACATGCTGAGATGCTGGAAGTGAGGACTTTAACACAACTTTTTGTTTGTGGTGGGCGGGGCATAGTTTAACCCTTAATAATCCAGTCAGTCATCACTATGAAGGGCCAGCAATACTCTCACTGCTGTTGTTCATGATGTGTGTCTTCCTTGTCACTTGTCTAGGTATTTCAATGAGATTGGTGATGTTGGTTTTCTAAATAAAGGAAGGTTGAGGTGTCTATAAATGTGGCCTCCATTTCAAAGGGTTGCTGCAGGGGAGAGTATTGCTGAAACAGAAGTTCAAGTGCACTTGGGATTACTAGGCCACTACCTGTGAGAATAAATGCTCCCTTATATATCATATGAGTCCTATCACATTCCATTACTCATTTGGGTGAAAAGCAAGGGAAAGAGTGAAATTAAGGGAGAAAATGAATTCTAAGAAATCTTAACTTGATGTGCAAATGTTATAACCCTGATATCTTTTCAAAACTTTTACCACTGAGTGACTGTTGACCACAATTATGCATGGAGAATCTACCAGTAATAACATGCACAGCATACAAAGGACTGTGTTTTGCTTCTTGGACTGTGCCCTTGATTAGTTGCTCATCACTTATCCCTGCCTAAGGCACAGTGGATGATAGCATCCATCCAAATGACTCAGCTAATAACAAGCATCTTGCTGGGCATGGTGAGATGACTCAGAGATGAAGCTAAATATCAATCAAGAAGGCTGTTTCTAAGGTAAATGTTGAATAAATCGGTACTGAAATCTAGGTGCCAAGTATACTGTGTGTTCACTGAAAATTTTCAACTTTGTTGTGTGTTAGAAAACTTCTACAATAAAATATTTAGAAAAAAAATCACATAAATCAAGCACTGTGGATAACTTTTTTAGAGTGAAAGAGCAAGATCTGTTAGTATCCATTTGTTGTAAATGTAGAGAACATTCAAGCGTAGAGAGTTCAGGGCCAGTTTTAACTCTCTTGGTGATGGCTGGTTAAACAAAGACTCATCATTTCTGGTTTTGATCTCAGTTTTCTTATTTTAAATTATTAGGATGTGGTAAGCAGTCTTCTTATCTTGTTTTACTTTGTTTTATGTGATTTTTAGCTGCCAGATTCTACCAATCTACACACTTTAAAAACTAGCCTATCACTGCTTCTAAATCTTCTCCATTTATTTGTGCCCTAGGTATGATTATGAATTTGATAGCAAGGGTACAGTAAGATGTATATAAAATAGGGCCTTCCTATGTTATGAGCTATCTTTTCTTCATTTCTAAAGCAGAGTTGTGAAGCATGCAGTTTCTAGAGTCATATTTCCTTGTGTATTAGGATCTCAGCTCAGTAGGTCTTCGAGCAGATTACTTAACCTTTTTATGCCTTATCTTAAAGTGCAGACAAAATTAGTTTTTGCATCGTATTCTGTTAGCGCCTATAGTAAGAGATCAATAAATTTAGCTATATCTCTCCAGAAACTTTATTTTATCTGCCATCCTTCTCTCTCTCTCTCTCTCTCTCTGTCTCTGCCTCAATTCTCTATTTCTTTATCTATCCATATCTATTTCCCTGAGACCAGGGATGTGCTGCGAAAAGAGGTCTTTTTTAACTGTTTAAATCTGCAAAGATCTTATTTTCCAATAAGGTACATGCTGAGATGCTGGAAGTGAGGACTTTAACACAACTTTTTGTTTGTGGTGGGCGGGGCATAGTTTAACCCTTAATAATCCAGTCAGTCATCACTATGAAGGGCCAGCAATGCTCTCACTGCTGTTGTTCATGATGTGTGTCTTCCTTGTCACTTGTCTAGGTATTTCAATGAGATTGGTGATGTTGGTTTTCTAAATAAAGGAAGGTTGAGGTGTCTATAAATGTGGCCTCCATTTCAAAGGGTTGCTGCAGGGGAGAGTATTGCTGAAACAGAAGTTCAAGTGCACTTGGGATTACTAGGCCACTACCTGTGAGAATAAATGCTCCCTTATATATCATATGAGTCCTATCATATTCCATTACTCATTTGGGTGAAAAGCAAGGGAAAGAGTGAAATTAAGGGAGAAAATGAATTCTAAGAAATCTTAACTTGATGTGCAAATGTTATAACCCTGATATCTTTTCAAAACTTTTACCACTGAGTGACTGTTGACCACAATTATGCATGGAGAATCTACCAGTAATAACATGCACAGCATACAAAGGACTGTGTTTTGCTTCTTGGACTGTGCCCTTGATTAGTTGCTCATCACTTATCCCTGCCTAAGGCACAGTGGATGATAGCATCCATCCAAATGACTCAGCTAATAACAAGCATCTTGCTGGGCATGGTGAGATGACTCAGAGATGAAGCTAAATATCAATCAAGAAGGCTGTTTCTAAGGTAAATGTTGAATAAATCGGTACTGAAATCTAGGTGCCAAGTATACTGTGTGTTCACTGAAAATTTTCAACTTTGTTGTGTGTTAGAAAACTTCTACAATAAAATATTTAGAAAAAAAATCACATAAATCAAGCACTGTGGATAACTTTTTTAGAGTGAAAGAGCAAGATCTGTTAGTATCCATTTGTTGTAAATGTAGAGAATATTCAAGCGTAGAGAGTTCAGGGCCAGTTTTAACTCTCTTGGTGATGGCTGGTTAAACAAAGACTCATCATTTCTGGTTTTGATCTCAGTTTTCTTATTTTAAATTATTAGGATGTGGTAAGCAGTCTTCTTATCTTGTTTTACTTTGTTTTATGTGATTTTTAGCTGCCAGATTCTACCAATCTACACACTTTAAAAACTAGCCTATCACTGCTTCTAAATCTTCTCCATTTATTTGTGCCCTAGGTATGATTATGAATTTGATAGCAAGGGTACAGTAAGATGTATATAAAATAGGGCCTTCCTATGTTATGAGCTATCTTTTCTTCATTTCTAAAGCAGAGTTGTGAAGCATGCAGTTTCTAGAGTCATATTTCCTTGTGTATTAGGATCTCAGCTCAGTAGGTCTTCGAGCAGATTACTTAACCTTTTTATGCCTTATCTTAAAGTGCAGACAAAATTAGTTTTTGCATCGTATTCTGTTAGCGCCTATAGTAAGAGATCAATAAATTTAGCTATATCTCTCCAGAAACTTTATTTTATCTGCCATCCTTCTCTCTCTCTCTCTCTCTCTCTGTCTCTGCCTCAATTCTCTATTTCTTTATCTATCCATATCTATTTCCCTGAGACCAGGGATGTGCTGCGAAAAGAGGTCTTTCTCCTGTCCTGACAGTGACCTTGGGTGGCTTTCATCAACCCCATTCCATTTCTTCTCTATTATGAAAAGCAGCCTTCTTTGTTTATGGAACACCCTTGGCATCCAGTTTGCATCTCCCTACGTCAC